TTAGAGAGAATATACATCTTTTGTTTTTCTGAGTCTGTGTTACTTCACTTACTACAACAGTTTCTAGATCCATCCTTTTACCTGCAAATTTCATTATTTCATCTTTCTTTACGGCTGAATAGAGCTCCATTGTATAAATACACCACATTTTTGTTAATCACTCATCCGTTGAGGGACACTTAGGTTGCTTCCATCTCTTAACTATTGTGAAAACAGCAACAACAAACATGGTTGTACAAGTGTTTCTGGAATAAGATGAGACCTTTGGGTGTACGCCAAGGAGTGGTGTAACCCCTATGGAAAACAGTGTGGAAAACTCTTAAAAAACTAAAAATGAACCTACCGTATGACCCGGTTATACCACCCCTGTGTCTTTTTATTGCTCTAGATAATTGTTCTGCTATCTGTGGCTCTCCCAAGACTCCCTGCTGCATCTTAGGTTTTTTTTTCAAGTCACATGATCAAATTCACTCCAGTTTTATAGGTTGTCTGGAGAGAGCCAAGGTTCCTGACTAGGATCCCAAAATAAAATTCTCTAGTGATTTTGCTGAAAGATTGATGGGATGTAAAGAGAATTAGATTTATGTTGCTTTTGGTGTTAAGAAAACTGATCAGGGGCTGGAGAGATAGCTCAGCATCCACATGGCAGCTAACAACCATCCATAACTCCAGTTCCAAGGGATCTGACAGCCTCTTGTGCCCTCCAGTGGTATTGCACAACATGGGTACACTTACATACATGGAGGCAATATGCTCATACACATAAAATAGTAAAAGATAATAATAATAAAATATTTTAAAAGAAAACTGATCATTTCTCCTGAGTTAAGCTTTACTGGAGATTAACACCTATATCAGCCAGAGATCTCTAGGAGAATAGAACTTCTGGAATAAATATATATTACACACAGGATTTACTAGGTTGGCTTACATGATACCTTCTGGGTAGTCCGACAATGGCCATCTACACCCTGAAGAGGCTTGGAATCTGCTAGTTACTCGGTCTACAAGGCTGCAAGTCTCAGCAGGGTCTCAGTCTGGGTCTGAAGGCCTAGAGGATTCCTGGAGAGTCACTGGTCTTCAGTCCATGTTGAAGGCTGATAAACTGGGCTCCCCTGTCACTGAAGGATGGCAGTAGTGGCAGGATGGCTAGCAGCAGCCATACTCACTAACACGGAGCAGGCAGACAAAAGCTCTTCCTCAGAAATCTTTATGCCTGGGTCACCACCTGAAGGTGCTGCCTTCTCTAAGAGACGATCTTTCTCTTTAGTTAATCTTTCCAGGAAACAGCCTCATAGACTCACTCAGAGTCTCTAAGTTGATTCCCAATCCAGTCAAGTTGACAACCAAGATTAGCCATCACAGCAACTAAGAATTGATGCCAAGATTTACAAAGCTAATGAGCTTTTTTAGAAACAAAAGGGTCCAAAATAAGAGGGCAAAAGTGAAAAATAATCCCCCTCTAACAGTCAGACCCTAATTGTGTGGCACCTGACTTAGTGACCCGTGATGTCCTTTACATTTTTAGCCTGATTCCTAAGGAGTTCTACAGTCTCAGTCCAAAGGGTCAGTCTCAGGATGGACACACAACGGTCAGTCTCTGAATAGTGTGATAAAATCAACTACCTAAGAAGATAGTGAGCTGTCCACTTCGATTCAAATACACCCAACAAAAACCTCACTTCACATTCAAAGTTGAAGAGATGATTCAGAGGTTAAGATCCCTGGGTGCTCTTGCAGAGGGCCTGAGTTCAATTCCCAACACCATGTCAGATGGTTCACAACTGCCTGTAATGCCTGCTTCAGGGAATCCAACACCCTCTTGTGGCTTTCATGGGTACTGTACTCAGGTGCACACACCCAGAAATAGGCACACATAAAATAAAATACATTGTATCTATAAATGAAATAATTAGAAAATATTAATTTTTTAATATTTGAAAAAAATCTAGATGAAATGAACTTCCAAGATGAAACAAAGGGTATCCATGTGTTCAATAAACCATTTTCCCCCCAGGAGCTTACTGGTTGATTTTTAGCACTATGAATTCAATGTCCAAGTATCTATGGTTTCAAAACAGTAAATTCAAGTATAATCTACTTTAAGCTGCATGTGATGATGCAGGCCTATTGTCTTAGTTTGTTCTTCATTGCTGTGACAAAATACTCTGACCACTACCAACTTGGGGAGGAAAGGGTTTATTTAGCTTACAACTCCCAGGTCTCAGTTCATCAGGGAGCCCAAGGTAGGAACTCAGGGCAGGAACTTGGAAGCAGGAGCTGGAGCACAGGACATGGAGGAATGCTGCTTACTGGCTTGCTCCCCTGGCCCCTGCTCAGCCTGCTTTCTTATGCAACACAGGCCCACCTGCCCAGGGGTGGCACCACCCACAGTGGGCTGGGCCCTCCCACATCACTCAGCAATCAAGAAGGTGCCCCATGGACATGGCCATAGGCCAGTCCAGTAGAGGCAATTCCCCGACCAAGGCTCCCTCAACCCAGGTGTGTCAAATTGACACTAAAGCTATCCAGCACACCTATAATCACAGATATTCAGGTTGAGACAGGAGGATTGCAAGTTCAAGTCCTGCTTGGGCTACAGAGTGAGTTCTAAGTCAACCAAGGCAGCTCAGTGAAACCATGTCTCAAAATAAAAAGAACATAGTTAGGGATATGGGTCCATGGCATACTGCTTATCTGGAATCAGCCAGTAAGGGACTGGGGTATGGTCAGAAGTAGAACACTTACCTAGAATTTCTCAGGAAGGGGCTAAGGGTGTGGTTCAGTGATATAGCACCTGCCTAGGTAGCTCAGTGGTAGAACAGTTATCTAGAATCCCCCAATGAGTGTCTGGGACGTGGCTTAGTGGTAGAGCACTTACTTAGCATGTATGAGACCTTAGGTTCAATTCCTGGTACACAATAATAATAAACACAAGTCCCTTTAAACCAGCTTTTAAACCTAGTTCATTTTACCCTTTATATAGAACAGAGCATCTGTTTAACAAGCACCAAACATAAGGCAGTAAATATGGCTTACATTACAAAAAAGGAAGTTTGCCCATAAATCATGTTCGTAGAATCAGTTTTTTAAACAATGCCTAAGGGGCAAATAATGTTTATAGTCTTACTAGAAACACAGATCTGAGAAAATTACCTAGTAAAAGTCCTGCAAATTTCAGTTCCTTTTTCAGAAAATAAAGAGGCCTCTGGACAATTCCAGGTGATACCTACTAGGCCCATTTATTCACAATATTAATAAAGTCAATTATTTAATGTTATAAGTTCACATTTGGGGTTTGGTGGCCAATTGCTACAAACAGCCCATGCATAGCTAGTGGCTTAAGGTAAACATGGGCATGGTCACTTGTTGCCTTTCAATTAAGTGGGTTATCTCAGAGATTTGTTTACTGGCTTTGAAACAGCCTAGAAAGAGGGAAAGTTATAAATGTAAAGAAGGAAAAAGAGCCATCATTCCAGAATCTAGCTGAAGTCCCTCACCAGCAGAGACCAAGAAACCTAGCACATTTAACCAGTGCTTAAGGCCTTTCTCCCTGCAATTTTCTAGGTATCTCAACCTCAATAACAGTAAAAGTCATGTCCTAACCCCTTATGGAACCCCAGTGGTTCCTGGTTTTATCTTATCAGATGGTAATCCCACCCAAGGCACTTCAGGAGATACCCTATGATCTTGATTATCAAACAGGGGAACAGGAGTCGAGGAAGGGGAAAGTCACTTAGAAACCTGTTGCTGTAGAGCAGGTTTATGGAGCGTAGCAGGCGCCATCTTCAGCAGATCAGCTGTGCCAGCTGATGAGAGATTCAGGATTGGATTTGTGGACTGATGATGCTCAGACATAGATGGAGGGGTGGGGAGGACCACTAGCCCCTCACCTGAGTTTCCAGCCACTCCTCAGAACTACTTGTAGGCAGTTCTGGCCTAATTACAGGGGTTCTGGGAGGGGCTGAAATATATAGTGTCGGGGAGGCTGAATGCAGGCTCCATCTATGTGGCTGTAAGGAAGCCATTCTCCATGCTGGGTAAAGACTTTCCAGTGTGGTTGCTCTAGAGTCAACAACACTCCCCGAGGCCCCCCTTTTTTCCTATTTTAAATAAAAATTTTAAATAAAAAATGTTTTGTACATATGTTCAGTGCACCATATGTGTGCAATGGCCACAGAGGCCTGACAAGCGAAACAGATCCCCTGGAACTGGAGTTATGGTTGGTTGTGAGTTGCCACGTGGGTATTAGGAACTAAACCTAGGTCCTCTGCCAGAGCAACCAGTGCTCTTAACCACAGAGTCATCTCTCCAGCCCTCTTCTTTTTCTGTCTTTAACAAATCCTCAATTCTACTTCATACTGGCTAGTCCTGAAATTCTTCTCTACTCTGAAGCCAGGAATCCTGGGTTTTCCTGAATCATGGTAAAAGATTAAGAGAACTGATCAGGCTACTGACCATGACAGTGTGGAGTTGTATCTGTCCCCTTTCCACTGACAGTCTGGCTTGGAGTCTCTCATGTGATTGTAGTCACGTGGTGGCTGGGCATGGAATCATCCAGAGGATCTATGAGGATTTCAAATTTAAAGAGAGCCCAAGTTACAATGTGAGACTCTCCCAGGGAACAAATAAACCAAACCAAAAAATTTTTACTACAAGTGTTTACCCTTAGAATTTTCCAGAACTTTCTAGTCAATTTGGATATCTACATCAGATACTTCAGATGTGGTTTTGCTCATACTCTCTGCCCCATGCTTAGCCAGCCATGCCTGACTCCTCATTTATTGACTGCTCTCATATCCACATGCTGAACATCTACCAAGAATTCATCTCTTTTCTATCCCCCCCACCATACTGGTTATTTTTCTCATTGCTGTTACCAAAAGCTCTAACAAAAGCAACTTAAGGAAAGAAAGGTTTCTTCTGGCTCCCAGTTTGAAGATGCAGTCCATCATGGCAAGAAGGCATGGTGGCAGGATCATGAGGCAGCTTTTTGCATTGCATCCACAGTCAGGAAGCAGAGAAATGAATGCTGGTGCTCAGCTCACTTTCTCCTTTTTATTCAGCCCTAGACCTGAGCCCATGGGATGGTGCCATCCATACTCAGGGTGGGTCTCCTCTCCTCAAATAATTCAATCTAGAGTGTCCTTCACAGACTTCCTCAGAGGTGTCTCCTAGGTGATTCTCCATCCTGTCAAGCCGACAGTCACTAAGAACCATCACAGCCTCTCTAAAAAATGGCCAAGAGAATGTGAGCACTCCCTCCCCCATTAGGTGCATTCTTGTGGTAAGGTCAAGACTGAAAGGTTGGCACAGTACACAGGAAATGAGATGCAGCCCTCCCATAGGATTTCAGACATTGTAGCTCTCTGAAAAGACAGAATTCATGGTAAGTGGCAATGCAGGGACAGCATGGAAGTTTAATTATCCTTAAGTCTGAGCCTCTAGCCTCAGAAACCAGCAGCAAGACCTCCATCTCAGAGGACAACATGCTTTCCCCAAAACGTATTCCCTCATGCACAGAAATCCAAGATAGTCAATCAAAGAAGAGGTTAGTCCTTTGGGTAGGGAGCCAGCTCAGGGAATGGGTAAGAGAGGTTGTTCTGCAAGCATGAGGATCTGAGTTAGAATCCTCAATACCCAGGTTTAAAAACAAAAAGACAGACATGGCTGAAGGAGTGTGCCTATAACTACAGCATTGTGAGGTGCAGACAGGCAGGCCCTGAGAGCTCACTGCCTAGCCAGCTTAACACAATAACCATCGTATGGTTCAGTTACAGACTCTGTCCCAGTAGAGGAAGATATATGATGGATGGCCTGCTCTTGCCTTCGTGTGTGCATACACTGGCACTGTTTTCTTTCTGTTGTTGTGACAAAGCACTCTGGCCAAATGCAGCTTAGGGAAGCAAAGAGTTTATTTGGTTTACATTTCTAGATCACAGTCCATCACTAATGGTCGGGCCAGGCACCTGAAACAGAAACCATGGAGGAACACTGCTTGCTGGCTCACTCACAGGCTCATGTTCAGCTAGCTTTCTTACACAGCCGAGGACCACTTGCCTAGGGAATGGTGCTGCCCACAGTGTGCTGGGCCCACCCACATCAATTAACTATCAAGACATTCCCCCCACAGACTTGCCCACAGGCATATCTGATCTGGGAAATCCCTCAATTGGGACTCATTTCTCAGAGGACTCTAGACTGTGTCAACTTGACAAAGCTAACTGGGACAGGCATGCACACCTGCACACACACACAACTACAACATACTCAATTTTTTAAAAGGAAATTAGTAGTCAATTAAAAATGAGTAGTGGGAATACCACAGCCTCCTGCAGGAGATAGACAGTGCAGATTTAGCAGAGTAAAGTCTGAGAATTTTTGCAATGATTAAAAAAAATCATTTAATTTTGCTCAAGTTTACACTTCCCCAATTTATATCACACAATAGTTTTTCACAAGATACTTATTTCTCTTAGAACCAGTGTCCCATGCAGCCTCCTTTGGGAAGCACCATTGTAGACTGATTCTTGGATCTGTCAACAAATCCAATTAACTTTACTTCAAATCTCAAGCATCTGAGTGAAGAGCTAATGGGTGTTGCATTTTCTTATCAAGCTGTTTCTTTCATGGTGACTCCACACCAGATGACACCAGAAATGTGAGCCTCTTCATAAGCAGTGGAGGAGAAACCCTCATCAAAGCTTCAAGCTCCTTCTGTTGAAATCTGATGTTCTCAAGATTAGAATTGCAAATATTTTTTCATTCAAGTGCTCAAGTGCATCCCAACCCTATAACTTTACATTTGGGGATGTGTCTTTCAAAATGAATTGCATAAACTTTTAAAATTCAGTTATAGAATTAATTATTTTCCAGATTTGATTTTTAAAAGAGAGAGAAAAATTACAGAATGTAAAAAATTCTTATTTTGAAAAAACAAATAGATACCTGAGTTTCCATGGGGAGGTAATGATTGACAGGAGTGTTGAGGAATATTTGAAAGACAATGAGATGAAGGAGAAAAGCATTGTGGGACAAGAAGCATAGGCAAAGGCTGGACAAGGTGCCAAGCTGACATAGCAGGAGGAAGCACAGAGGAGAGAGGTTCTAGATCATGGAAGGCATTGCCAGAGATTTGGGGGCAAAAGCCTGGGTCCCACATTTGAGGAACTATTGAGACACACCCATATCGTGTCCCATTCCTGGAGTATTGTCTAGTAGAGTGGCTGGGGCCACATCAGAGAGAGGTTGTGTGCATGATTCATGAGAGCAGGAGCCATAGAGGTGCACAATGCTCCAAGAGCATAGCTTGTCTCTACTCTGTCATTGATGGTTTAGCCTGATTGCCAATTTAATAAGATTTCAACTCACCATGGATATGTTATGAGATGTTTCCAGACAAATTGAACTGAAGTGGGAAGTCCCACCCTGAATGTGGGCAGCACCATCCCATGGGCTGGGGTCCTGGACTGAATAAAAAGGAGAAAGTGAGCTGAGCACCAGCATTCATCTCTCTGCTTCCTGACTGTGGATGCCATGTGAGCGTCTGCCTCACGCTCCTGCTGCCATGCCTTCCCACCATGATGGACTGTATCCTCAAACTGTGAGCCACAATAAATCCTTGTCCCTTAAGTTGCTTCTGTCAGCTATTTTGTCACAGCAACCAGAAAAGTCACTGACATAGGGCATTGCTGATAGGATGCAGAGAGAGCACCCTAAAATGTTTCTGGAGAGGCAAAAAATAAAAGTTTAAAAAATAGCATCTTGGGCTGGAGTAAGGGCTTCAGCAGGTAAGAGCAACTGCCTCCTTTTGCAGAGGACCCAGACTGGGTTCTCAACATCCACATGGCAGGTAACAACCCTCCATAGCTCCAGTCCCAGGGAATCCAACAGCCCTTTTTTGCCTATGTGGGCCCTGTGCATCATGGGTGCATTTACGTACATTCAGGCAAAACACCCATACACATAAAATAAAAATAAATAAATTTTTTCATTAAAAGAAAGTAGAATCTCGGCTGGAGAGATGGCTCAAGAGTTTAAAATGATAGCTGTTCGTGCAGAGAATCTGAGCTTAGGTCCCAACACCTAGGTCAGCTGGCTCACAACTACCTATAACTCCAGCTTCAGGAGGCTGCAACGCCTTCCTCTGGCCTCAGTGGGCATTGCACTCCTATAGTGCACATACACACACACAGACACATAACTAAAAAAATAAATCATTTAAAAAGGGCATCTCAGAGCTGGAGAGATGGCTCAGCAGTTAAGAGCACTAACTGCTCTTGCAGAGGACCCAGGTTCGATTCCCAACACCCACATAGTGGTTGACAACCATCCCCAGTTCCAGGGGATTTGATGCCTTCTTCTGACCTCCATGGGCACTGCACGACATGGGTGCACTTACACACATGCAGACAACACACTCATACACATAAAATAATAAGTAAAATATTTTAAAAGGCATCTCATATAACTAAATAGTGACTAAAAATACCATGTGCACTATTTTGGTTTGCTAATTGTTATGGGCAGATGTGAACTGTGTCCTGAAAAAGACTTCTGTGTTGAAAGCTCAGTTTCAGAAGCAAATAGCTTGCAGTCTCGGGAGCCCTTGGGAAGTGTTGGATCACAAGGCTCTGTCTTCATAAATGGATTGTGTTATGACTTACCACAGGTTCATAGAGAGGAGCTGACATGAAATTTTCCTTCAGAAGTGTTTTATTAAGAGAGTTACAGATGCTTGACTGGAAAGGAAATCCACAGCAGACAAAAGTAACAATTATACCAATGTCCAACTTGGTGAGCCAATGAGTTTCTGTTGGGGATAGTTACAGGACTGTGGATGAAGGATTACTTACAGGAGCAGGGGCACTCAAAGATGGCTGCATCACCAAAAGCCCCACCCCCACCCCCAGCATGGGCGATGACTCATGAAAGCTGCAAACCATGAAGCTCTCCGCACAATTTGCAGGCAGCTCAACAGGTTTGAGAATCTCCACTCAGTAGCTCAACTGGTCAAAGGTCCTCTGCCTCCCCCTGCAGCTGTTTCTTGTTTCTATAACCCTGGGGTATGGCCCTGGTAAATCTTCAGCACTTCCAGACGTGTGAAGTTTTCTGGGCTTCTGAGTCTCCTGTTGCTCCCCTCTCCCTGCTGGAGGTGATATCTCAATTGGGAGGAAACTGCTTTGCAACAGATTTCTAACTTTTATAGGTTTATTTTTCTTTGTCGTTATTTTTGTTGTTTTGGCGGGGGCAGTGACCCAGCCTACATATTGGAAGTCAGAAAGGCAATGGTAAAGATTAGATATAATCACGACAACAAACAAACAAACATAAAAAAAATGACAAGCACGTCTTTTCAACAACAACAAAAAAAAAGATTAGGTATAATTTATACTTGTTTGTGGTCTGGGCAGTAGGGAGGGGGGCAGGCCTACAGCTATAAGAAATGAGGAGACATCCAGACCACAGTCTGTGTTCTTTACCAGCCTTCTGTCCCACAGAAAGCTACAGAAGGGTCTGTAATCTAGCAGATTAACCCATCAATGGGATCACAATTTGACAATTTG